TCCAAGGCTATCCTCACTATTTACAAGCCCAAATTTCATGTTATCTACTTGCTGATCAACCCTCAACAAAACCGTGCTGACTTTCCTTGATTAATTCCTGCCTGTCCAACAGCAAATTAATTCTGTCCCTCCCAAATCGATTCCCCACTGAGATTAGATTGACTGGCCTGTCATTTCCTAGTTTACCTCTTGTTGCCTTGAATAACAGCTGTACTGGCTGTCCTCTGGTATCTCTCCTGTGGCCAGGGAGGAACTGAAAGTAATTGCCACCATCCCCGCTATTTCCTCATTCACTAACCTAGGATACATTTCATCCTGCCCTGGTGATTTACCTAATTTTAAGCCTGCCAGACTACTCAGGACCTCCTCAGTCAATGCTAAATAACTACTTTAAGAATATCTCAGTTCTTCCTATTTCTAGAACCACATCATCCCCCTCACTAGTGAATACTGGCCATTTATTCACTTAGAATACTACCTACATCTTCTGGCTCCACACAAAAGTTACCAGTAGTCCTCAATGGCCTCTACTCTTTCCCTCATTATTCTTTAAAATCTTCCACATACTTGTGAAATATCTTAGTATTTTCTGGTTTTACCTGCCATTCTTTCATGACCTTTCCTTTAAAAAAAGTTCACCTTGTGCATCTGTACTTCTCTAGGGCTTCTGCTATTTGGAGTCCTCAGTATCGGCCATAAGCTCTTTCTCTTTATCTTTATCTAATCCCATATATCCCTTGATCCAGGTTCATAGGATTTGTTGGACCCACCTTTTGTCTTTCTTGGAAGACGTCAGCCCTCTACATCCTAATTCTTTCTCGAAAATGTTCCACTGCTTTGACACAGATTTACACATACACACATACATATACACATATATATAAAAATCAGATCCCAGCCCACTCTGACCAAATCACACTTGATCTCATTCAAATTAGTTCTGAAACTGCAAGAAGACTTCGATTTCAGCCCATTCTTGCCCTTTTCCAAACAAACAAACCTTGAAACTAACAGAGTTGTGATCGCTATCTACAAAATGCTCCCCCAATAATAACAGATAGTAGGAACTGCAGATGCTGGAGAATCCGAGACAAGGTGCAGGTCTGGATGAACATGATGCTGCTTGGCCTGCTGTGTTCATCCAGCCCTGCACCTTGTTGCCCCCAATAATAAGTCAGTCAATCATCACTACCAAAAATTAAGTCCCCTCTCCTGTAAGGCCTTCTACATTCTGGCTTAACTCTCCTAGTGCATTTTAAAGATATACATTATGACTACCACAGTTAAATGTTGAGGTTGGTTGGCTCGCCGAGCTGGTTTGTTGTTCCGCAGACGTTTCGTTACCGTGCTCGGTAACATCCTCAGTGCAGCCTCTGATGAAGTTTCCTCTGTATTGGAAACCTGGAAGTGAGGCAATCCATCACAACGGACCCCAGAGTTTAAAAACCAGGCGGGAAAACACACCGACGCTTCATCAGAGGCTGCACTGAGGATGTTACCAAGCACGGTAACGAAATGTCTGCGGAACAACAAACCAACTCGGCGAGCCAACCAACCTCAACATCCACAACCCGAGCTACAGATCTACTCCAAAACCTTACCTCAGTTAATGTTGGGCAAGTTGAAATCCCTTATTACTTTGAAACTTCTGAAGTTTACCCATCTGCTCTATTTCTTTCAGATTGTTAGGGGCCTATAGTACAGTTTAAAAAAGTGAAGAGACAGTGGTAAATGCCAACTGCCACAAGCAAAAGTTAGATCTCATTTTTTCACTTGCAGAAAGCATGGATTAGAGGAGGAAACCAAGGATGGATCTTTGTGTACTGCAGAAGTAACTGCAGAGTAACAGAAAGATTTGCCATTAGTGAGGATGCAATTACTAAGACCAGACAATTAGGAGTGGAACTAACATACAGAAGACTTGAGGATGGTATTGTCCTTTTGCAGCTTTTGACCTGGCTGACATTTCTCACACTAGCTGACAGTGGACATTAGGGCATTTTGCAATGCCTAGACTTTTCTGAAAAAACTACAATAAACTTCAACAGTTCAATAAAATTGTGATTTCATTCTTTTTAGCTGCAATCTGAATCAGCAACACCCAGTTTGGGTTCTGCCAGGGCCACTCCGCTCCTGACTTCATTACTTCCTTGGTTCAAACATGGGACAAAAGAGCTGAGGAGAGAGTGATAGCCCTTGACATCAAGGATCCTGAGCAAAATTGGAATCAATGGATATCAGGAGGTAAACTCTCTTGATTGAAATCAAATCTGACACAAAGGAAGATGTTTGTGGCTATTGGAGGTCAGTCATCTCAGCTCCACAACTCTCTGCAAGAGTTCCCCAGGGTAGTGTTCTAGGCCAAACAAATTCAGCTGCTTCAGTGACCTTCCCTCCATAATGTCAGAAGTGGGGATGTTCACCCATGATTGCGCAATGTTCCACCCATTTGCAACTCCTCAAATACTGAAAGTAGTTCATGTTCAAATGCAACAAGATTCGGATAATATCTAGGTTTGGGCTGACAAGTAGCAAGTAACATTTACGCCATACAAATGGCGGGCTACGACCATCACCAATAAGAGACACAGTCCCTTGACATTCAATGCATTACTATCACTGATTCCCCCATTATCAACATCCTAGGGGTCATCATTGACCGGAAATTCAACTGGACTCACCCCATAAACACAGTGGTTACAAAAGCAAGTCAGAAGCTAGGAATACTGTGGTGAGTAACTCACCTCCCAACTCCCCAAAGCCTGTCCACCATCTACAAGACACAAGTCTCCACTTGCTTAGATTAGTGCAGAGCCCCAACACTCGAGAAGCTTCACATCACCCAAGGTAAAACAGCCTGCTTGATTAGCACTACATCCACAAGCACCTACTCCCTCCACCACTCTCACTCAGTAGCAGCAATGTGTATTATCTACAAGAGATCCAAAGATCCTCAGACAGCACCTTCCAAATTCACTACCACTTCCACCTAGAAGGACGAGGGAAGCAGATATATAGAAACACCATCGTCCTGGAAATATCACCTGTTCCTTCACTGTCACTGGATCAAAATCTTGGCATTTCCTCCCTAATGGTATGGTGGGTCAACACACACAGGTGGACTGCAGCGGTTCAAGAAGGCAGCTCACCACCTTCTCAAGGGCAAGTAGGCATGGGCAATAAATGCTGGCCAGCCAGCAACACCTGTATCCCATAAATGAATAAATTTAAACAATCTTGAAAAAAGTTGATTCAGCTTTCACCCAGTTATTCAGTTCAGGATCAATCACCAAGACTAGTAAATGTGCATAATTTTCAAGGATTGTGTTTTACATAATTTCACTGCTACTCTAGAGCTAATATGAATTTGAAGGCAATTCAATCTATAATGGAACTATTAGACCTTCAGTTGCAGGGTATGACATTGTACAACGAGTAAATTACTTTTGTAACTTGGTACAATTAAACTAAAATTTTAAAAAAAATCGATAGTGGCAACAGAATTTCCCCACCTTAGATCAACTGCAAGTTATTCAGCTTGCCATAACAACAGCATAATCATCATAAAGGGCATCACAAAAGAATGCAAATTTTTAGGTAGACCAAATTCCTACAATGGCCTGCTTCTTCAGCTGCGAGTTGATAAAAGTTTTTCCCCACATTGTATTGCAAAACATCTTAATATCTAAGTACATTTTACTTCAGTAAATCACATTAAAAGAACAAAAACGTTGATTAAAAGCTCAAATATACAAACGGAAGTCACTTCAACCTGCAGTATGAACATTGGTATGAAGGAGACATCTATGACAAATTCTACAAACAGCAAACATAATATAAAATAAAGCCTTAATAAAAGAAATACAAAAGAACGCCAGAAATTGAACACAAGGTAAGAATCCAAACTTCAGTTTTTTTTAATAAATCACTAGAGGCCTACCCTTACTTAGAAAGGGCCAGTTTTAAACTTAACTTGTCTGCCAGATTCATTTATATATTTGATCTAACGGCTGCAGTCACGAGAATCACTCCCCTTCCTTAGTTCTAAAACGAACCAAACCATTCATCCTCGTCTTTAAATCCTTTCATTATTTCAACTCTCCTTCTAGCCAAACAACCCTGCCACCTTTTTATGCCGGATTCCAGACTTTAGCGACGGCACCCTAACCCACAGTGGACGATCAACCACCCTTACCAACTCACTAGAATTCCCTCCCAAAAAACTTCTCCCACCATTTAAATTTTTTTTTTAAAAAAAATCAGCATTCTCACGCGCTTCCTATTCAACTTGCAGTCTCATTCCTATACCTCTGGTGCACCCAGTAGTTTACACATCAAAAAGGCAACCTCATTTTCATTTCATACAAATGAAAGCTAGCGCTGATGATTTAATGTGTTGTTTTATTTCACGGATGTGTGCACGAAATCAGCAATGTCCTCATTCTACGGTAAGGAATTTAACGAGGGCGATTTTAATACATCTTAAAAAAAACTACACTATTGAATTTCTAGGCATTTTGCTCATTGTTAAAAGGAGTGTTTATGGTGACAGATTTGAAAAGAAACCTAACAAGGTTACACAAACAAATAGACCAGCTGCTGTAATTAAGCACATGACCAGCCAGACTGGCAGTTGGCGTCACCAGAACAACCGTTAACAGAGAGAAAAAAAAAGTCGCTTTCGAATGAGTTGGTTTAACGGCTGCAGGTGAACTAGAAGATGGAGCAAAGATTCTCTACACAGCAGCCCAGTCAGGAACCATTACAACTTGTTATACGCGAACAGCCGAAAGTTAAAGTACATTTGCCAGTTGGTGTGAAGGCGGTTAGGTTAATCGGCCCCCATGTTGTGGTGAACCCAAACCCACAGCGAAAAGGCCCCTGGCTGGCGGCTGAGCTCCCTTCCCTCACTCACTCAGGACCACCCCTCCCCATCCACCTGTTCTTTTCTCACTCGCTTACCCTGATATTACTACGAATATTCGTATAAACAAACTTACTTTGCGCTTCCACATCCCGAAGATGGCCGCCCGGGACTCGGCTCAATCGGTAATTCTTCCCGCTCCACCAGACATGACCATCTCGTTCACGTGCGGTTTAATTGAACCAATTTAAAAAGCGTTGCCTTCCCACGGCTCGGTTATAGGGGCCGCCGCTTCTGGGTGGAGAGTCAGCTTGGGTACTGATATCATTTGCATACTAAAAGGTGAAAACTCTGCTCTGGGGAAGGACTTGAACGCTCACTTCTGTTGTTCCCACAAACAAAACGTTTAAGTGTGCGATTAACAGGCTGTTAGTAAGTTGTTGGTATCTGAGATGTCCTGCCTTTAGTAACCACCCCCCCACCCGTGCTTTTCATCGGAAGGTGGAGACAATGTTTCCCTCTAAAATGTGAACGTTGTTGTGAAAACTGTCGGAAATGTTGTCTGTTTCTTTGTGTTGAGGAAACACTAAAATACATACGTGTAAACCTTTCCTTTGTTTTCCAAGTTTGTTTTTTGTAATGCCTTGAGTACAATTCGCGCGGTCACGTGAATAGTTAAACGTCGGAGTTTGAGCAATTTTTTTTTTTGTTTGATCATCTTTTTGAGATAAGAGTCGAATTTTCTTTTGGAAACACCTGTTTTTCCCTACTAGTAGTACTGAAAGACGGATCTCCAGGGCGGGTAGAACTGGTACATCTACGGTTGGCTGGGTGGGGTGCAGTTACAATTTGTTGCAAAACATGAATCTTCCAGATTTCAGCCTCTTACAAGTTTGCTTTTGTCCTGTACGTTGTTAATACACAGGTTACCTTGTTGTTTGGAGGACAAAATAGGCTATCTAGGGAACTGTACCCAGTTAACTCCCTGATGGATCTAGTCACACCCGTACCTATTAAGGAAAGACGCCAATCCCATTTTGTTCCTTAAGGAGATGTCAGCATTTAAGAGGTGAAGCTAATTGGTCCCAAGAGAATTTATTATTTCCGAAGCAGTGTGGAAGAAAAAAACAGTTCCTCAGCAAAGCCCAGAAATATCAATTGCATTCAAATTTGTCCCAATGCCCATGGATAGACAGTTGTATCCATATTGCTAGATCTAAGACCCTCAAACCCTATTTAACTCATTGGAACAAAATGATGCCTCATTATTGGAATAGCTGTTTCAATTGTACCAATCTAGGTGTAGGCACTAAAAATGATCCATTCCTTCAATTTGGAACAAAATAACCTGGGCAGAGGGGCATAGGTCTAACATTGTCAGATTTCCAACCTTGAAAAGCTCTACAAAATAGCTAGTGCAGATACATTGTTCTGTTATTTCCAATTTCTTCCTGTAAGATTTGGTATCCATCTATGGTAAAATTGTACATCCACCAGTTGCTTCCCAACACCATATCCAAGTCAAAGATGTGCAGGATAGGTGGTTTGGCCATGTTAAATTGCCTGTAGTGTCCAAGGATGTGCAGGCTAGGTAGATTAGCCATGGTAAATACAGGGTTACAGGGATAGGGTAGAGGGCTGGGTCTCGGTGGGATGCTATTTGGAGGGCTCACGTGGACTCGATGGGCCAAATGGCTGCCTCCATACTGTAGGAATTGTATGATTCTAAGTGACTCTTGTATATGTTTGCCAGTGACAGACCATTTGAATGTGAGGATGTCACCATCTAGACATATTCTGTCCTCATTTAGAATTTGCATGCAGTTAAAGTAACTTTGGAATAAGTTCTTCCTGTCATCTCACTGTACTTCCAAATAGAAGAATTTCCACCTCTGAACCATTACAAATCTAGCATTATAGTTATGTATCTGGTATAAAATTCAATTTCTTGCGCATACAAAGCCACAGACCACTGTAGAAGTTTGTTTTGTGTGGATTTTTCAATTGGGCTTGTTTTAAGAGCTTTATGTATCAGAAGGCTAATTTTATTTCTCTTGTCTGGATATGGAGAACATCAATCATATTGTTAAATCCTGATGAAGTTTCCCACTTGGGTAAATGCAAACTGATTAGTGAAGGTGAGAGGGGAAAGATTTAAGAGAGACCTAAGGGGCACCTCTTTCATGGAGAGAGTGGTGCATGTATGGAATGAGTTATCGGAGGAAGTGGTGGAGGCCGGTATAAATACAATATTTAAAAGGCACCTGGATGGGTATATGAATAGGAAGGGTTTAGACGGATATGGCCAAATGCTGGCAAATGGGACTAGATTAATTTAGGGTATCTGGTCAGCATGAGCGAGTTCGACCAAAGGGCCTGTTTCCGTGCTGTATAACAATGGTGCAGGTTCATAGTTCCTTGCAAGTGGAGTCGCAGGTAGATAGGGTAGTGAAGAAGGCAAATGTTTGCCTCTGTTGGTCAGTGCATTGTATATAGGAGTTGGGAGGTCATGTTGCGTCTGTACAGGACAATGGTTGGGCCACTTTAGGAGTACTGTGTTCAATTCTGGTCTCTTTGTTATAGGAAAAATGTTGTTAAACTTGAAAGGGTTCAGAAAAGATTTATAAGGATGTTGCCAGGGTTGCAGGGTTTGAGTTGTAGGGAGAGGCTGAATAGGCTGGATCTATTTTCTCTGGTGCATTGAAGGCTGAGGGGTGACCTTTTCAAGGTTTATAAAATCATGAGGGACGTGGATAGGGTGCATAGTCAAGGTCTTTTCCCCAGGGTAGGAGAGTCCAAAACTAGACAGCACAGGATTAAGGTGAGAGGAATACATTTAAAAGGGACATAAGGGATACCCTTTGTGTAAAAAAGTTGGTTTGTGTGTAGAATGAACTGCCAGAGGAAGTGGAGGAGGCTGGTACAATTACAACATGTAAAAGGCACTCTGTTTTCTCCTTCACAGATGCTGCCAGACCTGCTGAGCTTTTCCAGCAACTTTGTTTTTGTTCCTGATTTACAACATCCACAGTTCTTTTGGTTTTTATCTGAATGGGTATATGAATAGGAAGGGTTTGGAGGGATATAGACCAAATGCTGACAAATGGGACTAGATTAATTTAGGAAATCTGGTCAGCATGAATGACTTGGACTGAAGGGTCTGTTTTTGTGCTGTACATCTCTATTTCCACGATTCTTTTGTGCAGCTTGTTAACCAATCTGTGTTGGCATAGCAATTGAGATTTGTATTACACAATTGTGAATTGATTTTTTTTTTTCAACACATACTGTGGAGAAACAAGGATATTCTCCTACCTAAAAAGGATAGGGAAAAGCATAAGGAAAACATCTGACAAGAATTAAAGGTCTTGCCAATATGGGACAGGTAAGTGGATTGTATGAGAATCTCGTTTGACAAGAACTAGCTGATCGGTGCAACATGCAGTCTTTCGGCAATCTTCATGCAATATCTTTAGTCAAGTGTTAAAATCATGTAAATCAGTGTAACACAATTTCCACAAGGACCACTTCTTCCATAACTTCCTGGTCCACTCCTAACACAGTATTGCTAAGAGTGACAGAGTCTTACCTTCACATTGAGGGTACTCTTCATCGTGCTGTATGGCACTATCACCATGCTAAGTGGGAGAGATCTAGCAACTAAAGATTGCACACTCAAGAGGCACTGTGGGCCATCAACAGCAGCAGAATTGTACTCCAGCACAATTTTCAATCTCGTGACTCTATATATTCCCTAATCAACAATTACCATCAAGCCAGGTGTTCAACCCTGGTTCAATAGAGAATGCAGAAGGGCATGCCAGGAGCGACACTAGGCATACCTAAAATGAGGTGTCAATGCGGTGAAGCTACGAAATAGGAATAATTGCATGCCAAACAGCGTAAGTAGCAAGTGATAGACCGAGCTAAACAATCCCACAACCAATGGATCCAAGCTCTGCAGTCCTGTCACATCCAGTCATGAATAGTGGTGGGCAAGTAAACAACTCACTGGAGGAGGAGGCACCACTAATATCCTGATCCTTAATGATGGAAGGACTCAATATATCAATACATAAGATAAGGCTGAAGATTTTGCAGCAATCTTTGGCTAGAAGTGCAAAGCAGATGATCCATCTCAGCATCCTCCAGTGGCCACCAACATCATAGACACCAGTCTTCAGCCAATTCGATTCACTCCATGCGATATCAAGAAACGATTGAAGACACTGAATACCACAAAGCCTATGAGCCTTGACAACATCCTGGCAATAATACTGAAGACATGTTGCTTCCCTAGCCAAGCTATTCCAGTACAGTTACAACATCAGCATCTATCCAAAAATGTGGAAAATTGCCTGGGTATGTCCACAAAAAGTAGGATAAATCCAACCTGGCCAATAACCGCTCTATCAGTCTACTGTTGATCATCAGTAAAGTGATGGAAGGTGCCATCAACAGTGATATCAAACAGCACCTGCTCAGTGACACCCAGTTTGGGTTCTTCCAGGTCATTCAGATCCTGACCTCATTTACATCCTTGGTTCAAACATGGACAAAAGAGCTGAATTCCAGAGGTGAGTTGAGAGTGGCAGCCCTTGACATCAAGGCTGCATTGAACTGAGCGTGGCATCAAGAAGCCGTAGCAAAACTGGAATCAATGGGTATCAGGGGGCAAAATCTCCACTGGTTGGATCATAACTGACACAAAGAATGATAGTCCTGGTTGTTGGAGGTCAGTCATCTCAGCTCCAGGACGTCTCTGCATGGGTTCTGCAGGGTAGTGTCCTTCAGCTGCTTCATCAATGACCTAACCTTTACCATAAAAGGTCAGTGTGCATTCATCAGTGAACGTCCCCAAAACGTCCAGCACCATTCCTGATTCCTCAGATACTGAAGGTTTTCATGTTCAAATGCAACAAGACCCAGACAATGTCCAGGCTTGGTCTGACAAGCAGCAAGTAACAGTCATCCCACACAAATGCCAAGCAACAAGCATCTTCGATAAGAGACAATGTAACCACCACCCCTTAACATTCAATGGTGTTACCATCACTGAATTCCCCGACTACCAACACCCTTGGGGTTACTATTGAGCAGAAACTCAGCTGGACTCACCACATAAACACAGTGATGACATGACCAGCTCAGAGGCTAGGAATACTGCAGCCAGTAACTCCTCTCCTGACTACCCAAACCCTATCCTTCATCTACAAGGCACAAGTCAGGATTTTGATGGTATACTCCCCACTTGCCTGGATGGGTGCAGCTCCAACGACAGTAACGAAGCTTAACAGCATCCAGAAAAATGCAGCCCAGTTGATTGACTCTAGATCCACGAGCATATAATTCCTCCACTGCTGATGGTCAGTAGCAGAAATATGTACTTCCTATAGAGATAGTAGGAACTGCCAATGCTGGAGTCTGAGATAACAAGGTGTGGAGCTGGAGGAACACAGCAGGCTAGGCAGCATCAGAGGAGTAGGAAGAAGGGTCCAGACCCGAAACGTCAGCTTTCCTGCTCCTCTGATGCTGCCTGGCCTGCTATGTTCATCCAGCTCCACACCGTGTTATCTGTACTTCCTATAGACGTACTGCAGAAACTCACCAAAGATCCTTAGACAGTACCTTCCAAACCTACAACCACTTCCATCTAGATGGACAAGGGCAGCAGATACATGGGAACACCACCACCTGCAACTTCCCCTCCAAGCTACTCACCATCCTGGCTTGGAAAT